TCTGGAGTATCTGTGTCTTGATGGAGTAGATAGAGGACTCTCTGAGGTAACTGTGTCTTGATGGAGTAGATAGAGGACTCTCTGGGGTATCTATGGTGTTTTGGAGTAGACAGAGGACTTTCTGGGGTATCTATCGTGTGTTGGAGTAGACAGAGGACTCTCTGGAGTATCTGTGTCTTCTTGGAGTAGACAGAGGACACGTTGGGGGTATCTCTAGTGTGTTGGAGTAGCCAGAGGACTCTCTGGAGTATCTGTGTCTTGATGGAGTAGATAGAGGACTCTCTGGGTTATCTGTGTCTTGTTGGAGTAGATAGAGGACTCTCTGGGGTATCTATGGTGTGTTGGAGTAGACAGAGGACTCGTTGGGGGTATCTATGGTGTGTTCGAGTAGATAGAGGACTCTCTGGAGTATCTATGTCTTGTTGGAGTAGACAGAAGACACATTGGGGGTATCTATGGTGTGTTGGAATAGACTGAGGACGGTCTGGGGTATCTATGGTGTGTTGGAGTAGACAGAGGACTCTCTGGAGTATCTGTGTCTTGAGTATCTGTGTCTTGTTGGAGTAGACAGAGGACACGTTGGGGTATCTGTGGTGTTTTGGAGTAGACAGAGGACTCTCTGGGGTATCTATGGTGTGTTGGAGTAGACAGAGGACTCTCAGGGGTATCTATTTTTTTAAAGTGATCTGTGGGTTTTGTGTCTCTCGTAGCTTTCCTATTCCACCTAAATGTTTGAATAATGAAGAGTCTGTCTTAGTTGCTGGGTGCCATAACAAAGTACTGCAGACTGAATGCTTTKCATAAGGACCGCTCCCAGGATTCTTCCGGAGGACAGTTGAGGGTCAAGCTACATCAGGACTTGGTTTTGGGTGGGCAACTTCTGGCTAGCAGGTGGCCTTTTTCTCACAGGGTGGGACAGGTGCTCAGAGTGTCTCACCCCTCCCTGTGGTGCCAGCCCTATGGGAGCAAGGCTCTCTCCAGTACCTGTTGTGACCCTATCATCTTGCCGCCCTGGCTTCAGTGCTGTCCTGGGAAGCATAGGGTCAGCATAGGATTTTGGGAGGACACAACTCAGTCCATAACAGATTCTCTGACATTCCTTTTGGTGTCTGTGGGATCTGTAGTGATGTTTCTTCTTTCTTTCCTGTAAATCATGACCTTATTTCTTTGATGGGTCTCGCAAGWGGTTCTTCAATTTTGCTGATGTTTTAAGGAACACCTGGAGGTTTTTGTCCTTAGGCTGCAAGTCCCACTGCCTCCTCTTTATTGTTTACACCCTTCTTGTTTGGGGTCCATTCTGTCTTCCAGTTGCTTGCACTTGAAGCRTAGATTGTTCTGAGTTGGTCCATTTTTCCAGTGAGCATCTGATGCATGGATTTCTGTCGGTGCTCATAGCTGGGTCCTGTGGCACTGGATGCACTGATGTTTTCCTTTTTGTTCTGTTTATAAGAGTATTCCTAAAATTTCTTTGATGCCTTCTCTTTGGCCGGGTGATTTTGAAGTGTGTTGCTTTCCAGGGACTTGGTATTTTCCCGCTGCCTTTCTAGTTCAGTTCTGTGGTCTGTGATTGCTGATGTCCAGGCACCATCTCTCCTGGACAGTGTTCTGCTGTCATTGGACAGCGTGTTCTGCACCTTCYGTGAGCTCCATCTGCTGCTGTTTGGACATCTGCACCCTTGCTGATGTCCACTGTCCTTGTCCTGCTGACCACTGAGAGAGGCATGGCCATGTCTCCAATGTCTCCCTTCAGTTTAGGCACCTTGGTTCTGTGTGCTTGGAAGCCCTGCTGCTGGGTGTGTACACATTTAGGGTGCCATGTCCTCTGGGAGATGCGACTACCATGCGATGCTGCTTTGTCCCTGGTGATGCTCCTTGTTCTGAAGGCCACCTGATCGGGACCTCAGGCKGCTGCCGGTGTCTTCATTTGGCATCTGTGCGGTGGCCCTTCTGTCCCTGTACTCAGCTTACCGCTGTCTTTAGTTCCCAGGGTCCATGACCAATCCTGGTGCAGTTGGTGTGTRTCTGTCTCCTCCTCCAAACAGCATGTGCCTGAGGTCAGATGAGGGCGTCTCAGCACCCCCAAGGCCAGAGCCTGGGCCACTGCCATTGTCTGAGGAAGTTTTATTAGGGCTCTGATACCCTAAGTGCTTGGTAAATCAAGACCCCCTAGGTGAACGGGGCTGTTTCCCTCAGGTGGGGGCAGGTGAACTGGGCGGCCAAGCTGGAGGCCAGAGTGGAGCCGAGCACACAGAGTCAAGAAGAGGCTTTCCACAGCAGAGGGGAGGCCAGGTGGCCCCAGCAGAGGCCATGAAGAGAGACCCTTCACGGCGCGGCTCCTGAAGGTGGCTCCTGGGCCCAGGCCCTCCTCCCCAGTGCCTGCGAGGAGCCTTGCTCAGACCGACGGCGGGYGAAGGCCCTGCTGCAGTCTGATAACCCTGCCCAGCTGACCTGCACTGGGGTCAGGACAGTGTGGACCCCCAGAGCAGAGTGGCCTCAGCTGACCTTCCTGATGCTGGTGGCTCTGGGACATGGTGGTGGACTCTGGAGGGTCACCTGGGGTCCTCTGGTGCTTCCAACTTGATTGGCCCCTTTTCATTTTCAGGCCCAGAGATGATGATCCCCCCAGGGGAGTGCACCTACGCGGGCAGGAAGAGGAGGAAGCCGGCTCAGAAGCAGTGAGTGTGACGTCTTCTGCCCGGCAGCCGCCACTGGGGACGCCGTGCTTCACTGAGAAAGGGAGCTCAGGGAGGGTGGGCGCGTGGGGCTGGGCCTGCTGGTGGCCAGGCGCGGTCACCTCTGCTGCCGGCCCTCTGCAGAGGGTGCCAGAGGGTTCTAGAACCTCCTGCCCTTCACCTGAGAGGCCCKATGGGGAGGACGCCCAGAGCCATCTCGCAGGTGGTGCCCCGTGGTGAGGAGACTCCCGGGCTTCTCCTGCCTGAGGCTGCGGGGGAGAGAGTTAGCACCAGATGGGACCCGGGACTCTGTGCCCAGGGACACAGACACCTCTGTCCTGGCCCCTCCACCTGCCCTTGGAGCGACCTGAAGCAGGAGGAATGGTGTGTGGTTTGGTTGGGGCCACCTGTTAGGAGGGGTGCAGGGGCACACATCCTCAGGAGCCCAGAGGCCGTCGCCGCCGAAACTGTGTGACAGTGTGGACTGTGGACAGTGTGTGATGCCAGGAGAGGCTGAGGCAGGGTCTGCCTGGCAGCCTGTCCACGTGTGGCCTCTGTGGTGGAGCAGGCCTCCTGTGTGAAGTCACCGTGGGCTCCAGTCCCCTGCCCACGCCAAGGCTGGTGAAGCTTCGATCGACCGGTTGGGGGCCGGGTTTGGGAGGCAGCTTCTCCCTGGTGGCAYGTGGAGCCGGAGCCACCTGGGCTGCAGGCCTGGAGAGGGCTGGGTGGGGTCTGTGGACCGGCACAGGTCCTCGGGGGCTGAGCYGCACACACTAAGGAGGAGCTGGGGTGTGGAAGCGAGCTCCGAGTGTCGGGCAGAAGGAACGGAATGGCCGCCCAGCTGAAGTGCAGAGCTCTGGTGGGCAGTCCGGGGCAGCAGAGCCGAGCTCCCTGCCTGTCAGGCAGAGTGTGAGTGAGCCCTCAGGCCTCTGCTTCTACCTGCCCATGTTCTGGACWGGTGAGCCCCTTGCCTGGTGGGGACCCCAGGGGACGGCGGGTCCCCGCCGTTGGTCCCCTCCCCGAGGCACCTGAGTTTAGCTGCTTCTCATGAATCCTCCTGAGATCTGTGTGGGTAGACCAGCACAGGCTTCCCTCCTCCTGCGAGCGAGGCGCTGCGGTGGACCGTGCCCTGCAGCCTGCTCTGCCATYGGCCTGTGAGTCTCTGCAGCTCCAGGTTCCTGGGCTGTAGTGCAGATGTGCTGTGCAAGTGATGCCCACCCAGGCCTCCCACATGTCCCTGTGGGATGGGGACGCGRGTGAAGGACACACCCGCTGCTGCTGCTCACCCTGCCGCAAGCTCAAGGGCTTGGTCCCAGGAGGGTCTTCTGTCCCCATGGCCACCCAGACCTGGTGTGGGGCTGCAGCAGGCAAATCAGACCCCAGGCTGGTGCCCATGTTGGGGATTGGCCTGCTGCTGGCCGGTGGCAGGGGCCGGGATCTGGTGGTGTCACCCTCACCAGCATCAGACCAGGTACAGTTTAGGCTTCCTACCCCTAGCCAGGAGCTTGTGATGCAGTCTCCCTCCCTTGGCCTAGAGTGCCGTGTCGCCTCCTCGGCCAGGCCTAGATCCACCRTGTCGCCTCCYCGGCCAGGCCTAGATCCACCGTGTCACCTCCTCAGCCAGACCTAGACCTGCCATCTCCTCCCCGGCCAGACTAGACCTGCCATCTCCTCCCCGGCCAGACTAGAGTTGGCGCATCTCTTCCTCAGCCGGACCTAGAGCTGCTGCCTCATCCCTGGCCAAGCCTAGAGCTGCTG